CTCACTCTTAGGAACCCAAATCTATGGGCCTTACTAGCCAGAAATCCGGAATGGAGGCCCTCCCACGAGCCTCCCCACGGGCAGGCGGAATACTAGCCTGCGCAGGTGAGAGGAGGAGCCCGGGCCAGGGAAGAACACGGTGCACCGAGGTCTGGCACGACTCCTGCGCTGGAGTGTCCTACGGGTCCCCAGACTCGCCATGCCCCACACGGGCCCCGGATCTGTTTCTTCTCCTCTATGCTCTTTGCTACAGACAACACCGCAGGCTCTCCAGCTGTCCCCGGCAAGAACCTGGGCTTCGTCCTAAATTCCTCTGGCTCCTGCACCGTCTACTTTCAACTAGTGCACATTCAATTCCGAGCTCTCAATTCTCTCTCACGCAGACCACGCCCACACACTCCTTGGAATCCATTCTCGTGCTGCTTACACCTTGGTCCCACCTCCTCCTTTTCCTCCTCAGTTACTAAATAGCCTCCACCTCTCAGCAGGCTTCCAGGTCCAGATGCCCTGCTCCTCCTCCCCTCCTACACCCTGCCCCACTTCCACTAGGGTCCGATTGCCCATGAGCAAAGGTAAGCAGGTCGTTCTGCTGCTAAATGCCCTCGACAGCTTCTATCAAAGTCAAATCACAAAGCCTAGCGTTTGGCTTTCCCTTCTCCAGACTCCTCTCCCGTGAGCTTTTCACCGTCAAGCTATAGGAGGTACTCGGTCAATCTGTCTTATCACCATGCTTTCATGCATCCTTTTCCCCCTGCACAGAATGCCCTTCCCTCACCTTATATATTTGGCTAACTTGTAATTGGGCTCCAAGACTCAGGTCCAGGCCTCTCCTCCTCAGGAACTTTCCTCGACTTCTCTCCACTTTGCATCAGGGCCCTCCTTGGTGCCTACCCTGACCCAGGGCAAGTCTCCAAAGACAAGACATTTTCACAGCTGTGCACCTGCATCAGGTACCTGTTTGTGGCTCATGTGATGGGGACTCCCTTCAGGCAGGTGCCATCTCTTTCTTCTCTGTCTCCCCAGTAACTAGTCCAAAGCCTCTCTCAGCAGGTGCTTAAAAGCCAACTGACTTGATGAAGACTAAAGTGAAACCTACGAACCAGTCTTTCTTCCCTTCTCTCTGCTCCCATAAACACAGCCACACCACTCATCGACAGCCCTGGCCTTTTGAGAAGTCTTTGGGTGTTGTGTCTATACATTATTTCTGAGGACATGATGCTAGTATGAGGGGCAGATGTGCTTCCTCCACCAACGGACTTCTGCTCTTCTAGGTTTTCTCCTCCTTCCTGGAAATTATGGGAATGTCTTTTTTCCTCCTCTTGGCCACCTGAAGGCTTTGCATGAGAGAAAAAGTAAGAGAGCACATTCCACTCATGTGATGCTGAGGGAAAGGAGGTTATTATAATTGAGGACCACCCCGAGAATCATGAATCTTTCCCCTGGGATAAGTCACTGTGACGTTTTTGCCAACAACGAGGACAACTGAATTTAGAAACCACAATTAGCATATCTGGGCCAAAGATGTATAACCAGTTGCCTCCACGGGGCATGTTAAGGGGGGGAAACTCTCATATTCCTGTTGTATCCCACTTCTGTTCGTTAATTTCTCATTGAGTATCTGATCCCATTCTTGCTTTAGCCTGAGTGAGATTAGTCTGAGATCCCCACCCCGAGGGACATCCAATCTGTGCTTTGGAGCTGACTTACATCTTCAGGATGGGTATTTACTATAAAAGGAAAAACAAAGCAAAGCAGGCAGATGATGTTAATCCTCTGAGAGCACAAGCTCGTCTACTTGGGAGAGAACTCTGCCACGATCCCTGGCAGGGTGCTGACCCCAAGACAAAAAGAGGGCGAGATCGATGTTTGTGAAAAATTTAAAAAGAAGAATGCTGGGCCGTGAAGCTTTATTTCACACTCTTGACCCAAGAGGCACATTCCTAAGGGACATTCGTAGCCAAACCTGGCTAATTTGTCCAGATGAAAAGGAAGGAATAGATGAACACAGTGTTTCAGCAAGGTATGCACAGCTGTTGGCAAGAAAGATGAAATCACACTACATTAAGCTCAATTATGGTGACTTTTTATTCTTTCCCCAAGGTGCAGGGAGAGGGCTGACCTGCATCCTCTGGAGATTTGGAACTCCTCCAAATTCAGCTACAGATTCCTTGTTGTTTCTGTAAAGTAGGCTTTTAAAAAAACTTTAGAAAAATAGCAATTCACGGATGGCATCCTGAGGTGGACCAGAAAGTAGCCTAAAAGGGCTGATACTCCTGCCAAAGCACCTGGTCACATGGAAGAAGGGAGACGTGGATCCGAGAGGAAAAGGTGGCTCTTTTTAGAAGCACTTCATTTGATTTCATATTTCATTTCTCAGAAAGTATAAATTAATTTGGAAACTTCAACCGGTGTCTGCTCTTGGACTTGGGAATCAAATGAGAAACCCCTGGGCTGGGCTTGGTGAGGGCTGCCTCTTGGGGGCTGTCCTGGGAGGCCACCCTGTATAGTCTTTCCTGACAGACCTGAGCAGTGGTCTTCTCAAGAAGCATCTCCAGGCACGGCTGGGGGGTGGCCTTGCCCCCAACATTCTGGGATGCCTCTGTTTTCGGGTGTGGACGTTTCTACGGCTTGACCTATCAGCTCAACTGCAAATACACTTTTTCCCACAAACAGAATCCTTTGTTGTCTCTCATGCTTCCTTTCAAATAGGTTTTGCCCTTTAATTTGCTAAGGACTTTATATTTTTAATCCCAATCCAGTTCTTTGGGAGCAGGACAATTTGATAGGTCAGCAGAAGGTGGGCGTATATAGGAAAGAGTCCTCTGTTTTAGCCAGTCACCAAATAGCCTGCTTTCTGACCATATCCCTTGGGCCTATAAAGAAAATCTTGGATGTAAGAGCTTATCTGTGTCACTTTCTGACTGAAGAATCTCTGAGGAGACAATTCTTATCAATTCTAAGGAAAAGAATAGAAGATGCTTACATAGGGGATAGTCCCTGAACTTTGGAATATTTTGGCTTTTATTCTAAAACAGCAATAAGAAATTTTTTCAGTTTTTCTGTCATTCATTTTTCTTTACAAACATGTTCTCATTATTCTTTTCTCACCTCAAAATGACAGCACATAATGAGCACACCTCACCTACTTTGGGAGGATGTTGAAGGTGTACATTAAAGTTGAAAGAAAGAACGAATGAATGGATGGAAGGAAGGAAGGAAGAAAGAAAGAAAGAAAAGTAAAAGGAAGAAAGGAAAGAAAGCAAACCTCTTATATAATGAGACAGGACCAGCATTCCTCTCTGGGAGAGGCCTGTAACCCAGAGAACGGCCTTTCCACAGGACCCTGCTTGCCCTTGAACACAAAGGCCAAGGCCTCCTTCCCGCAGTTACCTATTAGAACTGCATATACACTTTCTTGGAAACATGCCACCCAGACCCTCCACTTGGCCTAGGAAGAAGCTAGTCCAGAGCAATGGCTGGCCCTGCCTCCCTCGGTCCCTCAGGTACTCGGGTGCCCCAGTGACAGATTGGCCTGCTGGCTTACCTAAAGCATGGCTGAGGCTCATCTGCTACCTATCACCTGGGGCTCAGCTGCTTGAGCACATAACCATGTAGCATGAACTCAGAAATGAGTTTTGCTAGGTCTCCAAAATTATGACACATTCCCTCAAAAACTGTGAAAGAGAAAGAGGACACACATCCCCTCCATGCCAAAATGAGCCATTGTTTGTGCTGTCTGTTAAACACCTTTAAAGACCCACTTGTATCAGCAGAAGAAAGCATCAAGACACATCCCACTCACTCTGGGCACTCACCATGGGATGGGGGTGGCATGGGGAGCACACGGGCCTGTCTGCCGCTGGGGAGAGAATACTCAAGGAATGCACCAGGGAAGCGACTTCCCGGCAGCTTTATTCCCCTAAGGGACAGGCTCCCTGCATCAGCCTGGCGCTCTCACCCTGGGTGGTCATGGGTGTCTTTCTGTGCCATGCTTCTGTGGTGGGGAGGGGACTCGGTGCAGAGCCTCCTACTTCAACACTGATCCTTCTCGAGGGAAAGGTTGGAGACAGCAAAACCTCAGGACTCTGGATGCCAACAAAGAAGGCCGCTCTCAGAGCCCCACTCAGTACTGTACTCCCAGAAGCAAGGCTAGTTACTGTTTCTCCATCTAAAATTGTTATTCCTGGGTCTCTGATGAGCATCCTTCCCGAGGACTTCCCAGACTTCGAACAACGTGGTGTCTAAAAATACAAAATGCACGTATCCTCTTTGAGCCTATCGTGCGTAATTTGGAAATCTCTATCTCCTGATGAGTAGCTTAAGAAGAGGATAGATTTACAGGGCAATGTACAAACATTTATTTATGCTGCATAAGAAGGCCTTTATCACCTGTATGCAAATCCATTATCAGGCTTAAAACACTGTCAGAGATTCTCAGTGGTATTTTATTCATGTCCCTGAAACAGATGCAGAGGAAAGGGTCTGAAAGTGTCTTCGGATATCAAAGGAAAAGGGAGAGAGAAAGGAAGCACGACTACAATTCTGCACTAAGAGAGACTTAAAAGAAAGATCCTGTGGTTTGTGTTGCTAAATTATTGACGGTTCCCTGGCCACGGCCAACGAGGTAGAAGGCTGGAGTAGCTCAGTGCCTTTCCCAACAGGACAGGTTGAGCAATGTATGAGCACAGTAGATCCTATCACCATTAGCGGTGACTCATTTAATTGCCTGTAAGTCACTGCATTAAAAAAAAAAAAAAGAGTGTTGACCTCTCTTGCTCTGGTTCCTGCTTCCCAGGTTTTGGCAAGATACCCTGGAAGGGGAATTGGAGTCCTTTCCGCCGTGGTCGACCCTGGAGCTCTGCAAGGGCTGAGTCAAATGCACAAGCCTGGGGAGGGGGCTGGGCTCCTCTCTTGCTGACTGCCTATCTCTCTTTTTACCCTTCTGACTCCAAATAAAGGGATGGACTCTGTTCCCAGTGGTTTCTCGTTTAGTCACTCACCTTTCATACCACTACCTTCTTCTTGGAATGTGTTACGAGCAGTGTTCTGATCTTCTAAGTGTTCACTCCCACCACTTCCTGAAGAGGCTACACTGCTTTGTGGAGACAGGGGGGCATGATCGGATGGGAGGCACTGGGGTCCTCTAGCTCGTAAGTCCTCATGAGACATCCATCCATGTCCTAGAGGCTGGTTTGGCACATTCATGGGTGGGGTAAGGGACACAGATCGTTTCAAAGGGCTGTGGTGTGCCTGGCCTGAGAGAACTGGAAAAAAAAAATAAAATGAAATAGGTTATTCCCCCCACTTTAGCCTGGGCCACAGAGAACCCACAATACCTTTTAACCCTGAGAGATGATGCTAACTATCTGCCAACTCTATCAGTGGTCCCCGCAGGCTGAATACAGGCCTGGCAGGGGCCTTCCCTTCAGGGGGTTAAAAAGGATGCTGTCTGGACCTCTTGGTGGGTTGGGTTTCCCCAAGGAGGCTAAACCTACAGTGCCCACACATCTGGCCTTAGCCTCTGTGGGTCAGGATCTGGTTTTCGTTCTAACTCTAGAAATCAGGATCCGTGGCAGGAGGCCTATAAATCAGGCGAGGCTCGACAGCCTGGTAAAGTGGCCATCTGCCAAGAGCGAAAAGAACGTGTCCTGGACATTTTTTCTTTTTTGGAAACCCCCAGAACCCGACGTTACCCATGTCATTAGGGTGGACTCCTTGAAGGGCAGGCAGGCTGGTCACCGTTTGGGATCTCTGCGGGGCTGAACTAGAAGGTGGACTAGGCCTGGCAGCCAGGAAGCAGGGGATCTATCAGTTCCGGAGGGGTGCGGGCTCTGCGAGGGCCGCAGTGTGGACGCGGACCTCAGGGTCTGTACGGGACACGGGCAGCCGTGTGTGAAAGGGCCAATTCTTTCCCTGGGCTTCACAGGTTAACGCCAAACTTCACACTGGAAACAGTGCCAGGTAACAAGGGCTTCATTCAGAAGCCGGTGGGGCGCTCGCAGCGAGCTGGGAACGCTTTCCCCCGCGGGTCGACGCTTCCGCGCAGTGGGCCACATCTGTGCGACCCCCGTTCTAACATTCCTTTTCCAGAAAACGAGGAAAAAGCAACACAACTCCCATAACTAGCCAAATTAAATGGAGGTTCTTTGAGGGAGGGATTTCACCAAAATCAAAGCCGGGAGAGCCGACGTTACCCTCGGTGGGCTTTTCTGGGCGTGTAAAGTGACACAACTTTACAAAGTAAGTCTATTCATAACATTTTCTCGGCCCCGCTTCCTGACAGGTCCGGGTTGTTTTGACTGCGGCCGCGGGCACATGGAATTGAGCCACATGCATTTTTAAACATTTTTTCAGGGAAGCCATTAAGTTCCATCTCAGGCCGTCTCCCCTACAGTGAGGTCTTTGCTCTCCCAGGCCTGGACAAGCACTTCTTTGCTGGTGTTAACCTGTGTTTTTTAGTAAGCAGACCTGACACCACAGTGTAAGAAGTTCTGCTCTGTGTTAGACCTAGCAGCGCCCACCCCACAAAGACCTGAGCAGCAGACTACCTTGCCCCCACTTCAAAGAGAAAGACCAGAGCCAAGACGCTGCGGGTTTCCAGAAAGTGTATTTGGGGGTAGTGGTGGGTGTGGGAAGGTAGCTCGTGGTCAGCTGGCATCGACCAGGCCCCGAGAGCAATGGGGCTCACATCTCTGTTGTCAATGTTTCCTTCCATGTGGCTTCTTCATGCAGCCAGAAGGGGCAGCTTGTGTGAAAGGGGGGCAGCCGGAAGGGCTAGAAGCTTCTTCATTAATAAAACAGGGAGGCAAAAAGGGAGCTGCCAAGCTTACTATTTGCAACCTGAGAGATTCCCACCTGAGGTAGATTCTATCAAAGGCAAGGAATTATCATCACTGGACTTAAAAAAAATGCAAAGGGAATATTGTTTAAAAAAATTTTTTTTGACCCTAACAGGCTGAAATAGCTTGCTTTTCCACTAAATAGAGTAGGGAAGAAACTACTGAAAAAGGCTCCCTGGAAAACGCATTGCTACCTGGCTGGATCAGAATTAGCAAGAGAAAAAGAAAAAAAAAAAAAGACAGAAAGAAAAAAAGTAAATAAAAAGGAAGCAGCAGTAAAAATGAAGAGAGAAGCCAATAGGAAGAAAAGCCAGACATCCAGAAAATCCATTTCATGCCTGTCTAAGTATTTATATAAAATTGGGCAGACTTGTTGAGGGCTGCACCGAGTGCCGGGATGGTCCAGCTTAGACATCTTAGCTTTCTGATACCTTGGCAACCGTTTCAGACTCTCTGATGGATGCTCTGAATGGTGCCGGCCAGGTATGCCTCAAGTGGACCTGAGGGCCCCTCCTCACGGCCAGGATTAGAGTAAGCCCCAAACCATAAAAATGGGCCTTGCTAAAGAGAGACACACAGCCTTGACCTGGCAGAGCCAGTTAGAGGCTTGGTTAGAGGCGACAAGTGAGTCCTAAGTGAGGCTAAGAGAGTTCCCATCTTTAGATACTGAGAACAATACCCCAAATATGTAGTAGTTGACTTCCATTTTTGGATGGAGCCCATTTGCATCTTTCCGCCTAAAGTTTTCTTAAACGCCACACTACCTTCCCATGGATGGGCATCCTTGGGGATGCTTGTCGATATCCAAGGAATCCACTGGTTATTAGAATGGAACAAGAGAGTAGTTACCTAACTTAATGGGACTTATAGGGATTTATTCATAGACAACTACACCCATGTCCTCGTGTATTCCTGAGCTTGACTGACGTCACAGGGGACATGGCATCCACTTGGCCTCTGCCTCTAATAAAAAATCACTTAGAGCTGAGGTGCCCGGGCCTTTTCCCAGTAACTTTCTAGTACAGGCCCCACCCTGTCTGTAGCACAAAGACTCCCACAGCTGACACCAAAACAGCAAGGTCTGCTTAGGAGTCAACCTCCTTTGGCAGCCAAGCAAAATGTCTCACACTAAGCTTCCGATTTGCAGAGAGGGCCATGCGTGTAGACCCAGGCAGGGCGCCACCCCTCCATAAGGGCAAAGTCATGCTGGGCAAATGCCTTATTTCTCCAAAGAGAACCAAGGCCCCGAGGCAAGACAGGCTCGTCTTCCTGTAGGAAGGAGACAGACGCAGGTGACAGGTGACCTACCCAAAGTGCCATTTTGGGGTGAAGACAATTCTTCACGTAGAGATACTAGGTAGAGGCTTTGACCACAAGGCCAATTCTGGTGTTACTTCGTGTGCTGGGGTGCTTTGTTCGGCACAAAGTGGCAGAGGCAACAATCAATGCCATGGGCAGAGTGCAGAAAATAGGCCACACCACCGTGGCATTAATGAGGCGGCCAGGGGCAGAGCGTTGATGGTTGTCCCCTAGCTCCATTTTTTTTTTGGAGAACTCACCTGAGGTGGTGATAAATAGAGGGAAAATGGATATTCAAGCAAAAATAAATACATAAATAAAAATTCCTTTTTCCTGTGAGTAGGGAGGGAGAGCAGTGAAAACAATCTTCTGTTAGCTGTCCCAGAATGACTCTAGCTAGAGGCAGACCTTTAGAATATTCCCGCTTGCTGACTGCCCTGCAGCAGACAACAGCCAAGGCTTCAATCAGACTGAAGCTGCCCCCAGGTATATTCGAACACTGCAGAATTAAGTACACCTTGGGAAAAAAAAAATCTCAATATAGAGTAGAAATTGACAGGTTCCAGCAGAATGGAAGTGCTGAATTTATATTGCATTTGTGACTTTATAATAGTGAGAGGGGAGGGACAGCGTGTTTCTGGGTGGATTCATTATATTGAAAATCCTACTAAAAATTACCAGGGGAGCAAGGTTGTGCCTCTTTTGCTCTTGAAAAACTGAAGCTAAAACTTAATATAGGGTATGGTATAGATTCAATATTGCTTATTATTTTTAGAAGGAAATATAGGTTCAATATTGCTTATGTCTTCTTACAGGAAATTTCAGGAATGTCCACATATCCTTGTAGGAATACATATGTATGCCAATAGAATACTGTGATTTGGGGAGCATTTATAAATTCAAGTGAACCAAAAAATAAATAACCAATACTGAATAAGTCTAGTTGAAATATGGAAAAAACAGCTAAAAATAATCTTGCTACAGCCGTGGAGCCGTGTGATGTGAGTACAGAGGGTCTTATAATCTGGCAATAAACTCTGTCATACCATTCTTGGCTAGCCCACTTCTCTGACCTCATTTAACTTTATGATTTCATTTTCATCTTGAAACATCTTTGATGAGACTCCTGTCAACATCTTTTTAGAGGAAGATACGATACCTGGCTCTGGGATCTGTTCTTTTAAGTATTTTTTTGAAAGCCTGGAAATCAGATTTCTTACCCCTTTCCTTTGACCAAACTTGACTTCAGCTCGATGTTTAGTTACTGAAATAAAATTCAGTGAAAGGCTTTTTGAGACAGACTCTTTTAAGAAAGTTAGGTAGAACTACTTTTTCTGCTTTCTAATGTGACAAATAATAGGGCTTATAGAAAGAGGAAGTTTGGGGATCCTGGCCCAACAAGCTCCTTGGTTCACTGTCAGGTTAAGCACTATACCACACTGTCGAGGAGAGAAGTGATCCCTACAGGTGAACAGTCCAGCTAACTGAACTCCACTGTCACTGAAACTTTATCCTAACAAACCCTAATGGAGATCTTTCAAAGATACATTGCATACTTCCCTGTTCTCCTGAAACTTATCCATTGAATGCAATTTCTGCTTTAAAAATTATTATTAGGAGCCTAGATTCATAACATTTCAGAGCTGAAAGCCCCCTGAAAGGTAACTCAAGAATTCCTAAGTCATGAGCTCTGGTCCCCTGGGTAGTCAATGTCCCTTAAAATCCCTATGTGCACACTTCGTTCATCGATGAAATACTGTGTTGTAAATCATTTTTATATATATGCAGAGTATTAACATTAATAAAAGGCAAATTAATTTACATGTTGCTGAATTCATAGCTCTTTTGGTCACTTTTTTCATCAGTAGATTCAGAGTACAATTCTTATTTTATGGGGACCCTGGTTTTTTTCTACATTAAAAACTGAGGCCCAAACTCAATAAATGATAGGGATGATTATTGTTCTCTGATTTGCTGAGTGAGGTTTCCATGGGCAGTATAGGCAGCCTCAGGAACTGCCGTGCTCGAAGTCTTCTGCACACCTCTCATCATCAGAGTATTTCCTCCAATCCCATCCACCAGCTGTTTGCATTGCTACCACTATGTGTTTCCGACTCCTTATAGGC